GGCATCTCTTGGGGAGGGGGCATGGGCATCACTCAGGGGGCGGGGGGATGGGCATAGAAGGGGGTCAGAAGAGTAGGGAGCAGGTGCAGGGACAGGTGTGCCATCATTTCCCACATGAAGGCACACATGTTGTCACCCTGCCACACAAGCTGGTCCCACATGCGGGTCTGCCACTTGGCGTCCTCCTGGGCCTTGTGCACCAGGGTCTGCAGCATGTCATACAGAGCACCCATATGCTGCCTTGTGAGGGCCTTGTGGACCCTTGTGCACTTGCAGCTCCCCTGGCTGCAGGTGATCACCCCTCGGCGACGGCTGGGCCCGCTGTGGGGAATGAAGAGGAAGAGACGGTCAGCCATCCATGCAGACACTGTCCCTGAGGCCGTGCCCTCCCCTGTGAATAGTGAGTAACTGTCCTCGGGCCAGAGGACGGGGATGTCCTGGGAGCAAGGCCATGTGTGGCCTGCACAGCAGGCCCTGCCTCACAGGGGCCCCAAGGTGCCCATGCTTCCCGCTTTCCCCACACCTCCATGGATAAGCAGGCAAGGGAAGAATCTGGCCACAGTGGGATCCCATGTGCAGGAGGAGGGGCCTGGACACTCCATGAGGCCTGCACACACACCTACAGCATTGTCCATGGGAGCGAGTGGTGCCTTGCGCGCACAGGCATGCCCGTGTGCTGCGTGTGGCACTCCTCGGTGTGCATGGGGTCGTGTGTGTGCTCTTGTGCCCAGCCTACTTCCAGCAGTGGCTGCTGGGGAGAGGGCTTCCCCCCCTCGGGGTCAGACATATGTGTGGCCTCCCCTGAGCCTGTGAGCAGGATCCTGGGGGTGCCCGGGGCTGCCTCCTGAGGCTGCGTGGCGCACACTGGCACTGCATGTGGTTTCATGTGCACCCACTGCAGCACGATGTCCAGGCCAAGCAAGCTGAGGACGATGGCACCCCATCCCCTCTGAGCCCACCTCCCCCTCCCTGTGTGTATGTAAAACTGAGAGCACTCACCTAATGATCCCTCCCCACTGTCAGAGGATGCCTGAGATGTCCAGGCCCAGGAGTATCGGCTCCAGGGTCAGCATCATGGTGCTGGCCATGTCCTCCTTATCCTGCCCCT